TCTCTCTCTCTCTCTCTCTCTCGCTTTCTTTCTTTCTTTCTTTCTTTTTTTTTAAGAAACAGGATCTCAGTCACCAAGGCTGGAGTGTGCAGTGGCATGATCATGGCTCACTGAAGCCTTGACCTCTGGGCTCAAGTGACCTTCCTGCCTTAGCTTCCCAAGTACCTGGGACTACAGGTGTGTGCCACCACATCTGGCTAATTTTTTTTATTTTTATTTTTGTAGAGACTGGGTCTTGCTATGTTGCCCAGGCAAGCCTTAAACTCCTGGGCTCAAACAATTATTCTGCCTTGGTCTCCCAAAGCACTGGGATTACAGGCATGAGTCACCTTGCCTGGCCAGATTATTTATGGTATTCTCATTTTACTGTGGCATAGTGGCTATTAGAATTCCAGCCATTACCGTCTCATTTAAAGCAGCAGGATGAGAGTTAAGGGAGCAACTTCACCCTCTTTTCAAAGAAGCCCTCTTAGATGATGTACATAAAACTTACAATTGTATCTCTTTGGCTAAAATTCTTCCTTCCTTTTGAACCTCCATGGTTTAAAACACAAAATTGTCTGTTTAGGGAGGTTAATTACTCAGGTTTGAATCATGTTGCAGTTCTTGAGAAACTTCACAAATCTGTTACGAACTAAACTTTATAGGATAGCAACTCAAGGATTCTCTGGAGCATCTGTTATTAATAATTGTAGGCTATCTTCTACTTTCAAGATCCTATAAGCAGGTCCACGAAAAAGAGATAGAAATCTGCTTACTGTTTTCCATTAAATTTAAAAAAGAAGATATCTCATCTTTTTTTATAAACCAAGGGCTTCAAAAATAAGCTGTTTATTTTATGTTTTAAGCATATGTAACAGTAAAGTGTAGAGTTTAATGAACCCCTGTATAACTACCAGTTATCAACTCATAGCCAATCTTCTTTTATTTTTACCTTCACCTATTCCCTCTTCCCTCCCACTCATGGCTATTCTGAAGCAAATTCCAGACCTCATATCATTTATCTATATAGTCTTCAGGTTATATCTCCAAAAGGTAATAATTATTTCAATAAACATAACTAATACTAGAAACACAATTTAAAATAGACAGTTATGCTTTAATATGATTAAATATCCAGTTAG